GGGCTTCACATTCTAATTTTAACTTTAACTCAAACTCATTTAAATTATTTGATCATATTCATATTTCATGATAGGAATCTGCATAGATGAAATGTGTATTGTTGTGTTCTGTTGGTCAACAGCTAACAAAAGTTATAGAGATTTTTCTCAAATTTAAAAAAGTGAAAATCAATTGTTATTTAATTAATATTTTTAAAGAAAATATGTCAGAATAAGCATTTTTTTTATAGCTAGTGAAAATTGAAAATGGTTAGATCTACTATTTTATGAAGTGTCACATGTTTTATCTAAGAATAATAATTTTTAAAGCTTGTGTCTAGCCTAGGCCTAAGTCTAAGCTCAAACTACATTACATAGCCAATATAGGCCTAAATTTGTTTGTTTATATTATTTATCTTTCTCAGTTTTTGTATTAAGTATACTAAAAATTAAATAAATAGCTTGATCATAGTAAATGGCCTAATAAATTGCCAAATATTTATTTCCGTAATATGAGAATAAGGCCCAAACTATAGAATAGATGGGTCGTGATGATAAATAAGACATGTAAATGTAAATGTAATTTAAAAAATATATAGTTTTATAATTGTAGATCTAACTTAGTTCAATTAACTAAAAAAAATGAAAGGAGCATACTTTTTTAGTAGGCATATACCAATATTTTTTAATTTTTTTTTTTACATTAAGTTTTCAGCTACTATTAGTCTAATTAGGACGGATAAGTCAATGGACAATAGCAATAATTTATAATACGCCGACTACGGGTGGAACAGAAAAGGAAATAGTACTTTTTTTTTTAAAGTCTAAAATTAAAGGATCATAAATAATTATATTTATATTGAAAGAAAGGTTTATTTTTATGACATACCTGCCCTTTGTAAATAAATCCATGACGAACCGCTACAGCTTTTGCGACCTCCTCGCCACCTTTCACGTGTACAGCCCATAGGTCAGTGAAGTGCTTGCCCACAACAGTTTCCAAAAGAAGAAAAAAACCAAAAACCAAAACTTTTACAACGTGAATAGATCCATGCATTGTGTAAGGGCCGGTCGGGTGGGAGAGATAGGGACCTTAATTCCTATCTCTTATCCTGGTCACCGTTCCTTCCCTTCGAACTGAGGAATCAGCCTCCTCGGCTGTGTTTGATCACCTTTATCATCGACATCGCATTCATCGATGAATCACATTTTCAGTTTACCATGACAACCAATCCATTCATCTTTTTTCATCGCCAACTAACTAAATAATCCGATGAAATAATCACACATAGTACAATCAATGAAAGTAACGCGTCCTTTAACCGTTCTCCATTGTGAACAAATACTCTGCTATAAACATGGAATCGACTGGAGATGGAACACGATGATTGCTGGCCCTCTCTTTCTATCTCTCTCTTCCCTGCCTTCCCTTCGGTTCGTTCCCTGAAACTGGGGCGAGTTTTGTGTTAGTTGATGTTCGAGGCGATCGATTGCAAGGTACTGGCGGGTGCGTTCACATCTTTACCAAACACGTCGTTCTGGGGCTGCGTTCAGAGTTTTTATTTTAAATAATTCAAAAGTTATATTTATCATTAATATGAGTTTGTTCCACGTTCGGTAATTTTTAAAAAAAATATTTCTGATACTGTTTAAAATCTGATTATCTATAACAGCTGAAAAATGATTATACCAAATTATATTTCTCAAAATTTATCCGCCTCATTTATTTTGTTTTTAATAATTTTGTAAACTTAACATTTTCGATACAGTTTTAAATAAAATAAAAAAACAAATAATAAAAATATTATTTAACAAAATATTATATAGCCAAAAATTAATTCCCGGCTCAGTGGCTTAGTTTAAAAAAAAAAAAAAAAAAATTTAAATTTGACAAAAAAAAATAAATTTTTTTTTTTTTTTAAAAAAAATAAAAAAAAAAAAAAAAAAAAAATTATTTAAAAAAAAATTATATAGCCAAAAATTAATTCCCGGCCCAGTGGCTTAGTTTAAAAAAAAAAAAAAAAAGTTAAGTGTGGCTATAGTAACTTAGTTGATTTTGTTATCCTAAGCAAGACACAGATTAGCCTACCACAGTGCACGAAATTTATAAGTTCTTGCATATTTTTTTTCGTTTTAATAATTTAATTTCATTGCAAAAAATACAATAGTAGTTTATCTCTCTCTCTCTCTCCCTCTATCTCTCTCTCTCTCTCTCTCTCTTGAAAGGAGTAAATCAGATAAGCAGAAAATTGTTTATTTATTTAATGAGGATAAAATAATATTTAAAACTTATGACAGCTACAGTACAGAATTTTTTTAAAGTATTAATTTTAATCTTGTAATGTCGTTTGACAAAATAGGCCTTTAAAAAAACTATTTACAAAAAAATCCCCAACCCGCATATAAATTTACTTAAATATAACATAATTTCCTTAAGTCAGCTGATTACAAGTAGATCTATTTTAGTTCATTTGTAATAAATAGTGAGAAATATAGAATGGATGGGAAGGGTGAAACATCGGAACAAATACCGTGCGGGGGGGGGGGGGGCTGCGCCCTCCAACAAAACCCTTTCATCGATGAATGATATTGGCATTTAAGAATGCATAGGGAAAATTAACTATTTTGGCGCCCTCTGATTGAGTCTGGTGCCAGGGTTAATAAATAGTGAGAAATATAGAATGGATGGGAAGGGTGAAACATCGGAACAAATACCGTGCGGGGGGGGGGGGGCTGCGCCCTCCAACAAAACCCTTTCATCGATGAATGATATTGGCATTTATACATGCATAGGGATAATTAACTATTTTGGCGCCCCTTGATTGAGTCTGGTGCCAGGGGCTGTCAACACCTTCGCACGCACATGGCACAGTGGAAATAGTTTGGACATTGGATGCATTGAGAATTCCATTGCCATGAACTCAGTGCGCATATGCGGAAGAAGAGAAATAACTAATACTTTTTTCCCTAAAGAGTTCTTAGAAGTTTGAGAAGCTAGTTAAACTTGTTTTAGAAAATGATTTCGACTCTAAACCTTATTCTGACAACAATTATAAGGTTGGAAATGAAAATGTATTTCTTTCAAGTTGTAAACTTGATTATTGCTCTTTTTAATGGTTTCAATTGTTAACGTTATAATTCTTATACCTTCATTATGTTGAATTTGTTATCCCAGTTCTCTTGTTTTGCTTTTGACTTTTGTTATTCAGGAAGTGAACTGATGAACTGTCCTGTAATCTGTAAATTTATCATCCAACTAGCCTGAACAAATTATTCCTGGCATGTCATTATAATTTTATGTTGACGCTTATAAATACATTCATACATTATAAATACTCAAGTCTAGTCCAGAATATGACAGATGACACTGATGTGTTCAAGTTTAGTAGTATTAATTAGTAATATTAAATTAGTAAAGTATTAATTACTTTAACTTTACTATGTCCATACTGACCATACAGTACAGTATACAGTATTCTGTATAAGTATAAGTTCTGTATTTCTGTAACTGTTATGATTTGGCAGTTGATTTTTGTTTACTTGCTGCAATTATGATCTTTCTGTGTAGTTTATTTTATATTTAAATATTAGTTAATTTTAACCCTCTTGGGACGTAAGGGCGATCTATCGGCCCAAGGTAGACTAGCGAGAAAGACGGTAAGTCCGAGCCGTCGGCCCAATAAATCGAGCCTCACGATTGGCTGGCTTGTCGTTGAACCAGCAAATCAAAATTATCCTAACGTATTCCTGCACATCCCGGCATTGTAATGGCAGCGTTCGTTGATGATGAACTCAATTAATTTGTGTGCAGGAATTTTTGTGTGTGTGTTTAGTTACATCCCGAAATTCGAACATGTCGGACAGTGACTCTGATCAAACTGTGCTTAATTTTGATGTTCTAGCAGTGAATCTGACACTGAAACTGATGAAAACAACCAGGAAATTAATGAAGACTTTCAAATTGAGGGTAATGCTGATGTTGTGAACTCTTGGTTTAGTATTACTAGTATTACGGGTACTCAACCAAACAGGGATGACCCCTCTGAATTTTTAGACAATATAGGTCCTATAAATAAGGCATAAGCACACCATTTGAGTACTTAATGCTATTTTTTACACTAAATATCACTCAAATGTTTATGAGAGAGACCAATAGATATGCAGAAAACTTTCTCAGTAACATTCAGCTTAAGAGAAGGTCCCTAGGTCATAAATGGGGGCCTGTTACAGTGTGTCTGTAACAACTGAAAAATAGGGTGGGGGATGGACAAGGAGTAGAATTATGTGCCAGATGTATCTGAAGGGCCTCCATGGGCCTTGTTTCCCAAAAACATAAGTGTTAGGACTTATTCAGGCTTCATCCATCAAAGAATTCACACAACTAATACAAGTGAGCCATGTTTATTCTAGGTTTAACAAAAAATTACACACATAAATTATGCAAATCAGGGTAGCTCATTTGCATGAATGTTGATATTTCAGTTTGATTTATAAAGATTGTATTAGTTCATTCAATTTCCTACAAGAATATATATAGTTTTAATATATTAAGAAAATAGTTTAATTTTAATACATTTTTTTGCAATGCGAGTGCCGAGCTCATAAAAAGTGCTCCGTCTTTTTGGCACATACACCCCGAAAGGCTCCGTCCTAAGAGGGTTAATACTATGCCTGATAGGCATATGCATAATGATAACTTATAACTAAATTAAAAATATGCCACCCAAACCCCCACAATCTTATACTTATACTATACCCTTTCCCCTCCTCATTATTTGTTTTTAATTTTCAATTATTTTAAATACTAAATACATAAAAGAGAAATGATCTTATTCACTATATACTATAGTAAAGTCTATACTCATTGACTAACTCAGTATGCTAATCCATTGACTGACAACTATTTCATAAGTTATTCAGAGGTTTAAGGAAATAAAATTAAATTGCCAGTCACCTTATTAGCCCCTAAAAATTGAGCTTACAAACCAACTCTCTTTCATAAATGCAGGAAGTGATGATTGATGAGAAGTTGGTTTAACTGCTTGAACTTTATGATGTCGAAGTCTAAACTTTCAAATTTATTAAAAGGCAAGAGTGTGCCAAATGTAAGTTTAGTATATTAATTAAAATTCTGACCTGTTTTTAAGGCCTTTGCCCTATTATCTATAACACATCCAAGTGAGTTTGAATATCAAACTGAATATTGCTTCATATTTATTTAATAATTTTGGTAGCATTTGTGTTAATTATCATCCAATAAAGTATGTTTTTAAGCCATGCTATAATTGTTAAATATTTTGGTACTTCTGAATTCTTGAAATTATTTGATATTATCAGTGATAGAATTTTTGCAAAGATAGATAAACATTGAACTAATTTCTTAAATTAATATATACATTTTTGGGGTTAGTGCATGAATCTTTTCTGTTACATTTTCATTTGCCCTATGACTATGATGATGTAGCATAAAGGACATTTCTTGCTTTACCTTTTTAACAATTTTTTTTCTTAATGAATTTTAGCTACCAACTTTTACCTCACCATGGACCAAGCAGGATAAAGATTTGATGAAAGCTGTTGAAAGTGAAAATGTAAAGAAAGTTGCCACTCTCTTATTTAAAAAACCTGTTGTTACAACAAAGCTTGGACCTCAGGGGAAATCTGTGTAAGTTTAGATTGAATGAGTCAAATGTTAAACTCTATGTCTAAGATATGTATTTATGTTTTTTGTAAAGCTGCTTCATTTGTCTTTTTATGCATATTTGATGTACTTTTTAAACTAATCTTCTAATTTAGGTTTCATGCAGCATGTGAAATTGGAAATAAGCAAATCTTTGATTTGATCCTGTCAAAAACTCAAGATGTCAATGACACAACATGCCAAGGTGAGTACATTTAAACATATTTCTATTTGAAAAATTAATAATCAAAATGAATACATTTTTTTAAGCAAAAATGTATGATAAATTAAAGTTTAAAAAAAAACAAAAAACATAAATCCAGAAAAGTAACCCCCCCCGACCCCCCCCCCCCAAAAAAAAAACAACAACAAACACATACACTTACACTTTTCCTCCTAAAAATTAATAAACAAAATAAATACATTTTTTTAAGAAAAAATGTATGATAAATTAAAGTTTAAAAAAAAACAAAAAACATAAATCCAAAAAAGTAACCCCCCCCGCCCCCCCCCCCCCAAAAAAAAAAACAACAACAAACACATACACTTACACTTTTCCTCCTCCTTTTCCAAATACACTTAAGACAGCTTAATAAACATAATCACCTCTTCTCATGTTTTTGTTTGATTATTTTTATGTTTTCAATAATATCCCATGGTTTCTCCAGTTAATCTCCCCCTTACTTTTACCAAAAAGTACTAATTCCAAAATGTTTGGCAATAATACTTATTGGGATTATTATTTGGCTTCTAGGTATACCAGCACTTCAGACTGCAGCTGCTAAAGGTCATATATATACCGTTGAAAAACTTTTACAGGTAATGTTTAATGTACACATATAATATCTTTTCCTTTTAACCATGTTTTTTCAAAATGGTTCTGTGTGTTAGTAAAGTTAGTTTTAAAAGCAAAAAATAGTTTTGAATGTCATGTGATTGAGTTTTTATTAAGAATAATATATAAGGGGACTCCTTGGTAACACATATGTTTTGGTTTTAGACACCTTATTGTCTCTATCTTTATCATATTATTCCCACTACTGACAAGATAAGTTCAATTTTTCTCATCCTCTTTGTTACTGTTTGTTTTATTGGCCGATGAAGGCTTACAGCCGAAATATTCATTTGATTGTCCTGTTTTTTTTTCTATCCAGCTTTCACCTAACCTGCTCTACTATTTCTTGAGTTTGTTTTTATTGCACATTTAATTTAAATTAACATTTGGAAGTTTTGCTTTCTAATTCCTTTCTGTGATATTTAAACAGGAAGGGCAAATAAATATTGTCAAACAGCTATAGCTAGCTAAAACATTGATTTTAAATGTTAATTCTACTTATCTAAATACAACTGTTGTTTCAAAGATTTATAATTTTTAAAATTTATTCTTCAGAACCATGCAAGTGTTGACCAGAGAGACAGTAATGGCATGACAGCCTTACATCATGCATGTGCTGGCCAGTATTTAGAATGTGTTAAACTTCTTTTGATGAATAAAGCTGATCCCCAGTCTGCAGATCAGGTGAAGATTTCAAATTATTTTTTTTAATGCCTTTTCATTGTTTTTTTTTAAATATAATAATTTTGTATAAATACTTTTATTTCTAAAAATTATACATTGTTTACACTGCTCAAGAAGCATTTATTTGTTAGAAAAAGGAGGCTTTTGCATAAAGAGATACTTTCTTGGGTTGTTGGAGTATGAACATGATTGTTTAATCTAACATTATTGAAGCACAAAAATACAAATTGAACTAAGTGTTGCTTCTTGTAGGGAGGGAAGACTCCTTTACACTATGCTGCACACAAAGGTGGTCCCAACTGTGTACAGATTTGTAAGTGGTTGCTGGAAAACGGTGCACAGATCAATTGGCAAGACAAAGATAAAATGTAAGAGCCTGTTTTTTTCTTCTCTTTTTAATATGCACTTTAGCAATCAGATAAATTTTGTGCTGGTTGTTATGTTAAAATACATATAAAAGTGTTTATAGCCAAAGCTTTTGAGCACTTTTGAGCACTTTTCCTGCTGTTTTATTTGTTTATTGTTTAAATTTCATTTATTTAAATGAACACTTTCTTTAAATTTGCAGCTCGCCATTGATGTTAGCAGCTAAAGAAGGACATAGTGCAGTTTGTGAATTTTTGCTGAAAAGAGGAGCGAACCCAGAGCTAATGGATAAAGAGGGTAATTAATGAATTTGTTAAGATTAGCTAGTTGCTATTCTTGTCTACTGCTGTGAAATAGATTTAGAAACGTGAATGTTTGGTATGAAAAGTTGTTGACCCTGAGACGGTTTTGTGAGTTGTAGCTCGTGGGGTTAGTTCGTGGTGTAGAGTTTTAGTGTATGCTGGGTGTTGGTTGGGAGTAGAGAAGAAAGTAGGCTGAGGGCAGAGTGTGTTTGGTTATGTTGAGTCAGTGTTCCTAAGTGTTTTGAGAGAGAATTTGTCGTAAACTCATATTGGAGTGTCAGTCATCTTGTTTGCTGATGGCAAGGAGTTTTTCATTATGTGCAACTAGTTTGAACACAGTGTCATATTCAAGGAGAACTTGTTAATAAGAACTCTGTTATTTCCACTCAGCATTATTACTAATTACAGTGACCAAGTGTGGTCGTGGACGAAAGCATTAGAAATAATTGTTTCCTTAAACAACAAGAAGGGCTTATCAAACTGCCCATTGAGCATCTGCCCCTACTGTGAGAGTTGTTAATGTGTAAGAAGGAAGCTCGTAAATGGAAGATCTTAACGTTATGAAGATCACAACATTTACTATAGTTGCTATAATTGTCTGCTATAGTTCAAATAGTTGTCCATTATTTCGACCAAGGCGGTATATTGTTTCATAAAATGGTTAAAGAGTATTTTGTGTTTTTAACAGTAGTGGTATAGACAGGAACACTGGTTAGGGCCATGAAATGCCGAATGCCCGCTCTATTTGTTTTTGTGCACTCGACCAACAAGCTGAAAATTTGTTTAATAATAAAATTTCAAAACATATTCGTCTTTTTGATGAAAACGTATTGAGTGCTCAAACAAGTTGCTATTGATTGAAGAGGATAAGGTACCTAAATAAGTTCACGTTTTTTGTAAAGTTTGACTAAACAAAGGAAGAATTCTCCCTAAGCTTGAACAATTTTAAAACAGTTTTATTCTATTGTTTATTTACAGGCCATGTAGCAATAGATTATGCAAATAAAAGAGGTCATTCAAATTTAAAAGACATCTTTGACAGGGCACCATCAAGAGCTTTTGAAAGCAGTTCAGAAAGAGGTTGGCGTATTTAGTTTTTTTAAATTGTGAAAATGAGTAATTTCTTTAAATATTTGTTATAGAATATAATGACAATTTCATTTTGTTGATAAAATCTAGTAATACTTAACACATCAGTAAACCAATACATTTTGTTTAATTTTATAGTAAGAAGAATAGAAATGATACATTTGTAGAAATTACAGTTAAGACTTAAAATTCTATTAATTCACTGCTGACCTGAGAGCTGCTTGTCAATAATGTATATGTATATATACTTATTCCAGGAAGTTTTACACCTAGTGAATCAGGCTCCGCTTTACATGATCAGGTAGAACTTAACATTTACATGCATATCATTTTGTTTAGCATGAAACCATTAGGGCATGTCACATATATTTTTATATATTTTATTATTAAAACAGCATTTTGTGTTCATTTTATTTCAATGTTTTTCACACATTCATTTGCTTGATCAACCTTTTTTTGTCTTCAAAATAATAATAGCAAAATCTTATTTTTTCATAAAAGTGTTACATTTTTTAAAATTATAAACTTCTAAGCTAAATTTCTTATTTTAAAGCTTATATTATTTCTCTGCAGGTTGAAAGTATGCATATGCATTCAATGCTTCATTCACCTTCAGGTCCAAGGGGTGTTTCAATGATCAGTGACAGTGAGGTAAGAATCAGTATTTGCAAAAAAAACTGTGTTTCTTTTTAAATTTTAGTTATTGTTTTTACTTAAATAAAAAGAAAAAATTAAAATTAAATTATGTGTTATATTTTTAAATACTACATATTAATTGAATGTTCAGTAAAAGTAAAAAAAAGTAATTTCTTTGCAATTCTGCATAAAAGTGTCAGATGTTATTATTTAAAACACATTAAGCATTTTCAGTACAATAATGCAATATCTGGAATTAATTATGTCTCGCACTTAGTCAAGGTGATGAAATATTATAATATGTTAAGAGAGAAAATAGTTTTCTTTGTGAATTTAGTATTTGATCTTTGTTTCCTTTCTTGTGTGTCCTAGAGTGTCAGTAGGACAGATGTTCACTCACTTCATTCTTTCCATTCTATGGATGACACTCTCTTAAGCAACCATCGTCATTCCCCAGAAGCTTATCGACAAAGTATCTCATCAAAACTAGAAACTAGTTTCAAAGTAAGTGCCGTGCAAACATTATTGTTATAAGCCACGGGATACTCTCTGCAAAAATGAAGGTGCATAAAGATTTTGATAATCTGAAGTTATAACATTATTATATTAATTTTTCTAAAATAACATTTCTTTTCAACTTGTATATATTTAATATTTCACTAAGTTTGTCTTGCTATACCAATATCACTCATGTTTTTCTTTAAAATATTTTAAAATGTCATTCAAGCCTTTTAAACAACAAATTTCTCTAATAAATAGGATGAAAAATGATTTTTTAAATCAAATATGAAAATTATTCTCTCATGCATAAAGAAACATTGAAGGGGGTGTACTTATATTGAAGGGCGTGTACTTATATTCAAGGGCGTTTGCTTAAATTGGACCATAATTTTCTAGGAGTTGAAAGAAGAACATGATCAACTCAATGAGGACTACAACAGCTTATCAAAAGAAAACTTTCGTCTTAAGGACAAAGTAGAAACTCTCCAAATGAAATTGGCAGAGAAGCGAGAGCAGGAATCTCATGGGGTGCGTAATTTGCTCTGTCCAGCCTTTATATGATCTCAGAAGAGAAACAGTTTTCTTGCATTTTTTGCCTTTAATATTTCACATATCTGATGAGTTGTGTCAATGCATAGAATATTTTTATCTAAACAAAAATTAACTTACCCTCATGTACTTGTCATTTATAGTACATTTTTAATTGAAGCCTTATAGGTACTCATCAGTATCCTGAATGAAAAATTTTTATTTTTAGCTTCTTCATAGACAAGGTTAAGCACTAACTACACTAGATGAAAACTAAAAATACTGAGATTGTAGTAAGACTTAAATTGTGCTTTGTGATAATCCTTAATAATAAGAAGCATACATGTTTAAATAGATATTTTATTACCTTTTGATTGTTCATGTTTTTTTTTAATACTTTTTTTTTTCATACCCTTTAACAGTCAATTGTCTTAAACTTTAATATGTTTAAAAATTTAACTTTTGACGAATTTTCTCAAACTTGGCACTAAATTAGTAAATATGACAGAAAAATGCAATACTAACATTAGATCATTGTATTCACTTTTCACCAACACAATTAGCATCCAGGTACAACTACACTCAAAACAGTGTATGAGGAAGAGGTAAGTTACTAGTTCTATTTCTACATCAATATTCAAAATGATGAATTAGGAATTATGATAAAACAATAATATTAGTAATCAAAGTCACATTTATTTCTGTCCACTACCATGATTTCATTTAAGCACAGAAGTACTTCTTAAACCTGATTCAATTTATTTTAAAAGATTTTTCTTGTGGTAATTCATTTTTTTATTCAATTGGTTTTTGAGAAAGAAAAAAAAAAGTAATGGAAAAAATCTAATTCAAATAGAAATGCTGATTGAAAGTAAAGTTCTTCATTGCCTAAAACAAATTAACTGAGAGGATTCCATGTTAAAACTTTATTTGAATATATTGTACTGATAAAGTTTGTTACAAAAATGTCTTTAAAATTCACATCTTGGCATTTTTGTCTATATCCCTAGATAAAAAATCTAAAGGAACAGTTGAGTGTTGAGAGAAAAAGGCTGGAGGAGATAGAAAAGAAACAGGTGAGGTGTTAGGTACCATTATGGTTTTGAAAATTTAATCCGTTTTATGATTTGGCTCATAGAATAAAAAATATGTATCAAAGGACTGAAAACCAGTGTACAAAGAAAAATGATACAAAACTAGTTATAATAACGATATTCAATTTAATTATACTATTAAATTTCTATAAAAATACAAATTCAAATATACAGAAACAAAAAAAAAACTACACCAACTTACGCCACAGCAAGTGAAAGGTACAACCCTCTTAAAATAAAAATATTATTTTATACACACACACACATAAAGAGTACCCATACAATCTTGCATTTATATAACATCTAATATATGTTAGGAAATATAGCAAAAATCTGCCGGCCCATATATAGGGGTTAAATAAAAAACATTGAGGAAAGACATTCTAGAAACTGGCTCAGCTAGTAGGATTCTTTAGAACAAATAGATTGCATTCCAACGTAAAACAACCTTTATATAGTCAAGGGAGGGTGGGTAAGGAGTGACACAGCACATTTACTGGGTGATGTCAATATCAAAACAAAGGGTAGTTAAGTGTTGGTGGCTAAGAATAGCCATACACATATGCCATAACATGAGAATTACATTATTTATGTTTGAGTAACAGATACGTTAACATAATGATGAGGTATATTTCAATTCTCTAATCATAGCCAATAATTTGGTTTAAAAAATTGAACATAAAAAATCAATTCTTTATCCAAATATTATTATTTTTGTGAACCTTCAGATGTCTTCAGATGAAGTCATAACAAACAAAGATGGATGGTCAGAGAGGGATGATGATGGTAAATGTTAAAATAGTTATGCTTTGATTTGTTTATTGTGGGCTTCAGAGTAAAGAACTTATTCAAGTATAAATATTTCATTTAAGCTTATAGTGGCTCAGAGTAATGAACTTATTTGTGTTGAAATATCTCACTTACACTTATATTGCTTCAGAGTAATGAATTTATTCATGTAGAAATATTTCATTTACGCTTATAGTGGCTCAGAGTAATGAACTTATTTGTGTTGAAATATCTCACTTACTCTTATAGTGCTTCAGAGTAATGAACTTATTCATGTAGAAATCTCCCATTTAGAGAAAGGGAGTAACATTTTTATCTTCTTAAGTTCTGAAAAAATACTGGAATTATCTTGAATGTTTTCCAGCGAGGGTTGATTTTAACAATAATCTCTGAAAAATGGTATGGTAATTGACTTTTAGAGTAATGACAACTATTCCGCAAATTGAGTTTGATTTCGAACCTATTGGTTCTAGATTGGATCCTTTTAAATACTGCTGTATGCTTAAGGGGAGGGTGGTTTGCATAGCCACACAGTCCATCTAAAGGTTCATCATCTGTTGTTGTTTGCAGATCCAAACAAGCATCAAGAGAAAAATGTTTCCAATGAAAGCCAAACAGTTGCAATGCTGAGGAGCCAAATTTTGATACTGAAGCAGGAGAATGAGCATCTCAAGTCTTCATTGGTAAGTACATTCTGCAGATACCTCTTATGTTCCAGAAAAAACAAAAACACTTGAAGTCTACAAGTTTTATTCATGTTCTTATTTCAAATTAGACCATAGGCGTCCAAACAAATCCTAGGTCATTGAAGACACACCCCATAGGCGTCCAAACAAGTCCTAGGTCATTGAAGACACACCCCATAGGCATCCAAACAAGTCCTAGGTCATTGAAGACACAACCCATAGGCTTCCAAACAAATCATAGGTCATTGAAGACACACCGTCAAATTTTAAACCAATATTTAGGTATTGGGAATTTAAAAATCCCATATAGTAAATCAAATTAAAATGTTGACTTTGTTCATAGGAGTTGTAGCTATACATAGCTTGAATGTGAAGTTGTATAGATATCCAAAAAGAGTCTCTTTTTAAATTGATGAAACGGCTTGGGATGATTTCCCACAATTTTTTCCAACAGTACAAAAATTACATCACATCAAATTATTTATTTTTTTACTTCTATTATTGGGAACACTTATTGAGGCTAACAAAAAAAAAAGATATTAAAAATACATTGTCATTTTATTTATGCAGTGTAAAAAATTGGCCAAATTTGCTTTATCATTATCCTCTTTGTAACAACCACTGTGCTGAAGCTAATCAATTGGTCATGCTCTTTTCGGTGTGTTGGAAAGTCCTTTACTATAACAGTACAAAGTCATTGTTAATTTAAAACAGCTCTACCCTATTCACAACTTGAATTTAGGTGGCAAGTCACTTATATGACCTTGATAATGTTAAGCATTAGTCTTGGCTCCATACCACCCCGTGATTTAAAAAGTCTATTTATTCCTTTTCTAAGTTCTTGAAAAACTGAATATCTGCCACAGTACTTGTGTTGATGGCAGTTTTGCTGACAGGTGAATGGAATATTGGAAATTAAAAAAAACTATCAGATTTTATGTGAAGCAATATTCCCTGAAATTATCACACTTATCTATAAAAGAGTTTTGCTTTTGTACAGGCTTTACCTTTAAAGCTCAACATATTTTTTTAAGCTAAAAGGTAATTGATCAACGGGGAATGATGTTATTTTTTTGTTTTTATTGTTAATTTGCATGTGTTGATGAAATAATATTCATAGTTTTATCATTTAAATTGATCATCATGTCATAAATAGTATTTTAAAATATTTTTATCTTACTTTCAGGCTCTGCCTAATGGCTTTTTGGAACCTCTGATGGATGGGGAAAAAATCAGTGAGGCATATCAAAAAGATATTAAACTTCTAAAGTTTGAGAAAGATGAACTCCAATCCCACATTGAACAGGTGAGGGAAGGTTATGTTACTTTTGTAAGGCAATATGGTGTTCTAATGTCTATACTCAGTACATCTGTTGTGTACATGGGAAGCTTTCAACATTCTTTAGAGTAATTATGTTAATTGTAATGTATTGTAACGTTATTATAGTTGCCAGTATTTTGTGAGCATTATTTTGGAATGTCTGGTATCTAGATAATTTATATTATGTATGAAGGAAATGTGAATCACATGTTTTAAACATAAATCATGACAATGTTCATTTTCAGCTGAAAGAAGAAAAATCTAAACTGGGTGCATCCATGGACAAGGAAGAACTGATTCACCAAAACTCAAAGATGGCAGCCGAATTGGATGTCCTGCGCCAGGAGGTCACATCTCTGAGGACGTCACTGGAAGTTGCCAATGCCGTGCAAACTGATGACCAAAGGCTCGATGCCATAATCAATAGAAATTTTGAGGTAAATTCTAATAAAACTATTTGAAACTATTTCTGCTTTTAACAAAGAAATTTACATTTAGGAATTGTTCAAAATGCCAATGCACAATCAAGAACCTACACACATTCATGAACCTACACACAAGCAAGAACCTACACACAAGAAGAACCTACACACAAGCAAGAACCTACACACAATCATGAACCTACACACAAGCAAGAACCTACACACAATCATGAACCTACACACAAGCAAGAACCTACACACAAGCAAGAACCTACACACAATCAAGAACCAACACACAAGCAAGAACATACACACAAACAAGAATCTACACACAATCATGAACCTACACAGAAGCAAGAACCAACACACAAGCAAGAACCTACACACAATCATGAACCTACACACAAGCAAGAACCTACACACAAGCAAGAACCTACACACAATCATGAACCTACACACAAGCAAGAAGCTACACATAATCATGAACCTACACACAATCAAGAAAACAAAACATCTCACAGTACAATCAGGGATGTACACACCTCATAGTCCAATCAAAAACATACACACCAAATTCACCAAATGCCTTGCAACAGATCAATTTTAGGGAAGAACAAAAGCTCAGACAGCAACTTTCAAGACTGAAGCAACAAGTGCAATTTAATAACGAAACAAGTTTACAATTATTTGAATCAACAAAAGCATTCTATATTATCTTAAATTGATACCTCCATGATTTTTTGTGTGTGGAAAGGGGGTGTTTAAATTTTAAATAAGTTTTATAAAGAAATCACCCAAAAATCACTAAAAGATTTTTTGGAATCTACCATCTCAAGGTCTGATGCTGTGTCTAAAATGCACATTTCGGCATATCATTTTGCTTTACCTCATCTTCAGAATTCATTCACCTTAATTTAATAGAATAATACTTAAATTTTCTTAACGATTGGTTTTTAAGCTGGCTAGTTTTATTTAGATTTGTCATCTACTTATCTAACCGACATGCATTTGTTTCACTGTTCAATGAACAGGAAGTGAACTTTGACGAAGAAGGTTTTGTTGAGGGTCGTGACATGACCAAAGAGGAGTTTTTCCAAGGTCAAAACCAGCAGCTGAAAGCGCAGTGTGCCCTCCTGAAGGAGGAACTTGTCAAGCTAAGAACTACATTTGAGGCAATACTGAAAGCTGGGGACAACCTGCAGGCTGATTATGACCAGTTGGCGGTTAGTAAATGCTCAAATGTTGGATAAAAAATAATAGCAAAATATCTAAATGTTACCAGTTAATATTCTTCAAGGGCCCAGCTAGTAGCTCTTCTTGGCTCCTGCTAGTGGATCAGCAGCTTGTCATATCTGCTAGTTAATGTCAAAAGTTATTTGTGTAAGTAGCAAGTATTGTTATCCCAGTCACTGTGGCTGTGCTATTTCCGTACTTAAGTTTCCTGAACAAAGGGAAGTAACTCCATTTTGCAATTGATTTACATTTCTAAAAAAAAATTTATTTTACCTGCTAAATATTAATTTATAGTAACGAATTAAGGATAAATCCATCCTGAAATGAATTTGGACTAAGATAAGCATAGCATTAAAATTTTTAAAAATAACATGGGTAGTCGTCATTTTTTAATCATATTTTTATAAGCATTATATCATTTTGTAGATAAATGAATTTTTCTTTATGATAAATGTGAAATAATTTTTTTTTTTTTTTTAGTATTGTCAAAAATTATAAAAATGTGCCAGTATGCCTTCAAGTTTTGAATTTCCAAAAATTTATTTAATTATGAAATAATTTTTTTTTTTTTTTTTTTTTTTTTTTTTTTAATTTTTTCAAAAATTATAAAAATGTGACAGTATTTTTTTTATTTTTTAATTTTCAAAAATTTATTTAATTATGAAATAATTTTTTTTTTTTTTTTTTTTTTAGTATTGTCAAAAATTATAAAAATGTGCCAGTATGCCTTCAAGTTTTGAATTTCCAAAAATTTATTTAATTATGATTTATACTTTGAATAATTTCTGTATGACATCTACACCAAATTAGAAAAGGTTTCCAAGTTTAGACAAATTCACAATTGAAAAACATATCTCCAACTTATTTCCAGCATGTCTTCTTTTGGTAACCTTATCACTAATTGCAATGAAAAATACTTGCTAACTACCCTCAAAATACGATAAATATGACAAAAAGAAATTTTTTTTTTTTTACATTCTAAATGTCCCATGTGGTCTTTAACTTTCTGTTGGAAAATTAAAATCTCAAACTGAAATGCAAGAAAGAATGTCAATACATAACTAGTTTTACTAAGAAACAAATCATGATGCACACAGAGGCTCTTGGCCATGACAGAAGGATTGGTTGGTGCTACTAGCAGCTTGTGGTAGTTAACCAGACAAGCACGTAAATAAACTTGAAATATTGAAAAATAAACCAACAAGGAAAATGTTGACTGTTTTTGTTGGTTAAATCAAATCAGTAGGGTAGTAAAGATATTGTTTTCTAAATTCTCATTTTCTTCACAAAAAATTTTTTTTTTCTCAGGCTGAAAAAGATGCCCTTCAGGATGACCTAGAAACTGCCCTCAATCAGAAAAAGGATGTTGTAACTGAGAATGAATACCTCCTGAATGACACCAATGAGCTCCATGAAAACCTGAACAAACTTGTTCATGAGCTGGAGAAGATGCAGGAGAAATATCAGTCAGCACAGGCAGAAAATGAGGAGCTGAAGAGAAGTGTCACTGTGGCCAGCAAGGTGGGAGAGGTGGCCAGATTGTTGGAAGAGAGGGACACACTGCAGCAAAGATGTGCAGAGTTTGAAGAAAGCTCAGGGAGATTGCAGGTAGGGAAACATGAGAATAAGCCAGCTATGATCATAAGTCATTTCAGTATAATATTATAAATATTGGTTATAATTATTAGTTATTATGTAGCCAGTAATGGCAGTAATGTAGCTATTTTGTAGTAGCAGACGAAGGTTAGCAGTAGTGCTGCCATTTTTTAGGAGCAGCAGTAGGATAGCAGTGATGCAGCCATTTTGTAGTAGTAATAGTAGGTTACCAATAGTGTTGCCATTTTGTTGTAGCAGTAGCAGGGTAGCAGTAATGTAGTGTAGGGTTGTGGGTCAGCAGAAGTTTTAGAATTGAGAGGGACTTCTTACTAAAGCTGATTATGTTATTTAACAACACTATTTTGTTTCATCACCCATGTCTATTTGTATTGCTAGATTGGTGATAGAAGATATGAAGTTTTTAAATAATTTAGGATCACGTTAGGAAGAAAACTCTTTGTAACTTTATATCTCAACTGAATTATTTTTTCTTAACTATTTTAACAAATATGTTTAGTCTTTTAAGACAAATAAGTTTAGTCTTTGTTAACTCAAATATTTTTAGTCTGTTAACACAAATAAGTTTGGTCTGTTAACACAAATATGTTTGGTCTGTTAACACAAATATGTTTAGTTTGTTAACACAAATATGTTTAGTTTGTTAACACAAATATGTTTAGTTTGTTAACACAAATATGTTTAGTTTGTTAACACAAATATGTTTAGTCTGTTAACGCAAATATGTTTAGTCTGTTAACACAAATATGTTTAGTTTGTTAACACAAATATGTTTAGTTTGTTAACACAAATATGTTTAGTCTGTTAACACAAATATGTTTAGTCTGTTAACACAAATATGTTTCATCTGTTAACACAAATATGTTTAGTCTGTTAACACAAATATGTTTAGTCTGTTAACACAAATATGTTTGGTCTGTTAACACAAATATGTTTAGTTTGTTAACACAAATATGTTTAGTTTGTTAACACAAATATTTTTACTCTGTTAACACAAATATTTTTACTCTGTTAACACAAATATGTTTGGTCTGTTAACACAAATATGTTTAGTCTGTTAACACAAATATGTTTAGTTTGTTAACACAAATATGTTTAGTCTGTTAATTAACACAAATATGTTTAGTCTGTTAACACAAATATGTTTAGTCTGTTAACACAAATATGTTTAGTCTGTTAACACAAATATGTTTGGTCTGTTAACACAAATATGTTTAGTCTGTTAACACAAATATGTTTAGTCTGTTAACACAAATATGTTTGGTCTGTTAACACAAATATGTTTAGTCTGTTAACACAAATATGTTTGGTCTGTTAACACTAATATTTTTACTCTGTTAACACAAATATGTTTAGTTTGTTAACACAAATATGTTTAGTTTGTTAACACAAATATGTTTGGTCTGTTAACACAAATATGTTTAGTCTGTTAACACAAATATGTTTGGTCTGCTAACACAAATATGTTTGGTCTGTTAACACAAATGTGTTGGTCTGTTAACACAAATATGTTTAGCTCTTATTTTATAAATACTTAATTGTCATTGTCTTGACTTGATCAGCATGACCACAACATTCTTTTGGAGGAAGTCCAGAGCCTCAGTGAGGAAGTTGGCCAACTGACAGCAGAAAGGGATCAGCTGACAACAGACATGGTAGAGCTGGAAGCTGTGTGTCACCAGCATGAGGCCCTGCAACAAGAATTTAACCAGGTGGGCTTTACACTCAATATCTCTCATGTTACCCTATGACCACTAACAATAATATAAGCCAGGTTGCCCAGTTGGTGATACTAACTTTAGGGAACATTTTAAATACTTATTAACTGTTATGTTCGAGTTGCATGATATATTTTTATCTTTAATTGTAAATCATTTTTGTTGTTCTGTTCCCTTCCTACAAAAGTACATCATCTCATTATTGTTGTTCTTTCCTTTCATATACAAGCACATCATCATATTTGCTGTTTGTATAACCTGTCTTTAATACCACAAGCCAATTACAATGTTTGACATGCGCAGATGTTGTAGCAGGCATGCTAAAATATTCTACTTTAATCCACAGCTGGAGCTTGACTTTGGAGAGTTGTTGAGAGAGAAAGAAATTCTTGAAAAGAAGGTCAGCGGAGATAGCCAGAAGGCAATTGAAGAGGCAGACTTTGTCGAGAAGAAGCAGATCAGACCAGAGTTTGCCGATCTGCTGATAAGGAAGGATGAGGCAAAACAGCAGCTCAAGGAGGATGGGCAAATGAATTTGTCACAAGCAGAATTTTCTGAATTACAACAGTTGCAAAAAGACTTTGCAGAAGTTGTGAAAGAGAAGGAGTTGTTAGAAGACCAGCTGAAACAAGCGGCTGAAAGCCAGAGCAGTAAGGGAGAGGCAGGTTCAACTGAGCTTCAAATGCTGCTGGAAAATTCCGATAAATGGCTCAAAGAAAAAGAATTATTAGAAGAACAGATTAGAGTTTTGGTTGAAAGCCAAAATGGCGTGGGAGAAGCCAGTCTGGCTCAACTTCAACAGCAGCAAGCAGAGATCTCTGAACTTTTGAAGAAGAACGAGTTTCTGGAAGAGCAGCTGAGAAATTCAGTCAACGAGAAAATTGTCAGTGACTTAAACATGGCTGAGGCTACACAGTTGCGAGAAGACTTTGTTGAGTTGATAAAAGAGAAGGAAATGTTGGAGGAACAGTTGAGAAATATTGTAAGTGATAAGCCAACAGGTGAATCGGATCCAGATGAAGTTGAACAATTGAGGGAATTTATCGCTGAACAACTAAAAGAGAAAGAATTGCTGGAGGAACAGCTGAGAAATACAGCAGATAAACAGATGGGTGAATCAGATCCTGATGAAGTTGAACAATTGAAGGCATTTGTCACTGAACTACTTGAAGAGAAAGAATTGCTTGAAGAACATCTGAGAAATGCTGCCAGTGATAAACAGATGAGTGAATCGGATTCTGATCAAGTTGAACAATTGAAGGCATATATCAGGGAGCTACTGAAAGAGAAAGAATTGCTGGAGGAGCAGCTGAGAAATGCTGCCAATGATAAACAGATGAGTGAATCGGATTCTGATCAAGTTGAACAATTGAAGGCATATATCAGGGAGCTACTGAAAGAGAAAGAATTGCTGGAGGAGCAGCTGAGAAATGCTGCCAATGATAAACAGATGAGTGAATCAGATTCTGATGAAGTTGAACAGCTGAGGGCATTCATCACTAAACTTTTGAAAGAAAGAGAGTTGTCGGAGGAGCAGTTAAAAGAAGGCAGTCATTCAATGCAGGAGGAGGACCTTGCCAAACTCCAGCAGCTGGAAGAAGAATTTGCAGAACTCCTGAAAGAAAAAGATGCCCTTGAGGCCCAGGTTAGCCGAGATGCTGATAAATACCTTCAAATGGAACAAGACCTGGAAAAGACTCTACGGGACAAAGCTGCTCTTGAGCAACAGCTGAGGACTGAGCACACCAGTCTCCAGCAGCAAGAGATGAAGCTGGCGGCAGTGCTTAGAGAAAAGCAAGCCCTGGAGCAGCTGCTGGGAAGGGACGGCGTGAGGCCTGAAGGGGACTATGCCAAACTGCAGCTGGAGTATGACGAGTTGTTGGTTGAAAGGGACGACATGGAGAATGTGATTAACGGGTTGTCAAAGCATAATGTGGCCATTGAGAAAAAGGTGAGTAATAACACTGGCTGATTTGGTAGGAAAGGCAAGATATGCAGCACTGACAGCCCTGTGAGTAAGTTATTATGTGATAGTCATGGGCTGATGGGAAGCAAGGCAAGACATGCTGCACTGACAGCCCTGTAAGTAAGTTATTTGATAGTCATGGGCTGATGGTAAGCAAGGCAAGACATGCAGCACTGACAGCCCTGTAAGTAAGTTATTTGATAGTCATGGGCTGATGGTAAGCAAGGCAAGACATGCAGCACTGACAGCCCTGTAAGTAAGTTATTATGTGATAGTCATGAGCTGATGGTAAGCAAGGCAAGACATGCTGCACTGACAGCCCTGTGAGTAAGTTATGTGATAGTCATGGGCTGATGGGAAGCAAGGCAAGACATGCAGCACTGACAGCCCTGTAAGTAAGTTAGGCAAGTTTTAAAATTTTAAATTGAAGCCACCACTTATAAAGACAGGATTATGTGGACACTTTTTTTTTTTACATTGTCAGCAATTTTGAACTTTTGTATTTAAGTTTAAAGCATTTGGGACGGTGAATTTCCAGCTCCTGTTGGTTTGAGAACTGTAAAGACTATATATTGCTGCTGGATAAAATATTTTAGGCCAATTTTCCACCCTGGAACTAATGATTTTTTTGTTAAAGCCACCAGGGAGACTAATTTTTATTTGACTATTTTTATCATTTGCCTTCCCTCCCGAATAGATGAAAGAGATTCAGAGGCAGCTGGCAGAATTCAAAGCTGCAGGTGCCAAAGGGAACCAGAGCAATGGTCTTGAGAGCACATCGGGGCAAACACAGGCGGAGATCATGAGCCTTAAGAAACAGATTGCTCAGCTGACTGCACAGTGTGCTGTAAGTTTACATTTAAATTAATTTGTGTTAGAGGCTTTGTGTTTTTGTTTTATGTGCTAAAAGTATTTTGTTGTAAAAAAATATATATATATATATATTTATCAAAAAACAAAAAACATATGTTATTATCATTTTGAAAATGATTGCAATTTTGTGTCCAGTGATTTCCTTGAACAATTTGCAGTCAGGATAAGTTCTTATTGTGAATATGTTTATCATAAACTCTACATAATCAAGTTTCAGGACGTCCTCCTCACATAGTCACATCAACAAAGTTCGATCTTGAGTGTATAACTATAATGAAAAAATTACTCATCGAGCAAGAAATAAAATGTTTTTCAAAAGTATAAAGAAATTAACGCTCTGTAGACTTGTGTTGATGGCTGCAGCTGTGATTGTAATCTCATTGAGCTTCTGTCATTGCAGGAGTGGGAGAAAAAACATGCTGACACAGTCACTACATACAGGACACACCTTCTCAGTGCTGTTCAGGTAAGGCTTGGACCAAGTGGGAGCTTACTCTCTTTTCACCTTTGTTTTACAGTTAAAGTAAATACAAACAGACCTGGCTGAGTTGGTCTATTTGGATTGGCACTCGCTACTCTTTACTCCACCATATGACATTATTTAAGGGTTGTTATCTGTTCTGTATACAAATTACCTGAAAAATGAATGTGTTTAGTTTTTTTTAAAGTGAATTAGAAAATTGAGATTCATTCTCCAGGGAGAGAACTCTTGTTAGAATTCATTATAAAAGAATTTTTTTTTTTTTGCCTTTAAAAAAAAACTAATTACCTTTTTCTCATTTAAACATTACTATATAGGGCCACATGGACCAAGATGTGAAAGATGCCCTATATCACATCATAGAAATACGAAGCATGGAACAGTTTTGTTGACCCTAAGTTGTCAGGACAGTATGTACATACTTAACATGGCAGACCCTGTGAAAGATATAATTTGTGTTATTAGGTTGTGAAATGTTCTAGTATTAATGGTGTGGAAAATTGCTTTGGGAAGAGCTATAATGGATTAATGCCGTTACGGATGTAAAGAAAAGAAAGTTGCACAAGGGCTTCCAGGGTGATTAAAGACATTGCCCTTAGACGGAATTCGACATCAGTGGGATGGGAACATGAGGCACGTTACAGTTTTTCCATTGGAGTTAGTGATCTCTGCCAGGACTTGAATTCTTGTGCTTTTTCATTTCTTGGCATTTGTTCCCGGAAAACGAGATGGAATATCAGGTCATTAGGTAGCCAAAATGTTAAAACTTGTTAGATATCCAACAGGAATAAATAGTGATGCAGCTTAACCAAATCTCACTCACGAGAGTGCTTTTAAAAGTCTATATATTTTAATGGCATAAAGTATTTTAATTCTTTTATTTCCATGCGGTATTAGCAGCTTTACTGATACGTATAAGAGTCTGTCAATTCTAACATAGATATATTCAACTTAAACACTGTTATACTTTGCTGTTTAATTTATATGTATTTAAAGTAGGATACGTATGTACATTTTTTTGAGAGGGTTAATAACCAATTTAGCAGATGAATGTAGAAAAATGTATTGATATCATCACCTCATTCATTTATCTTAGGATAGCTTTCTGTTCTTCATGTATTCATCACAAACCATCTTATAATTTATTGAATTGTTAGAGTATTATATATTGCTGTTGTCCACCTGTGCTTCCAACAGTTTGTCCAAGAGCTACATTTCCCTACACACAATTTTTATGAATGTGATATTATATACCATGGTGATCTGATCAAGTATTTCTTTTACACACTCTTCCACCTGGCTCATCCTTTTTTTAGGGGGGGGGGGGCGCATTTGATATTTATGCTGTCCCACCACTGCTTATCTTTGTGATGTAGCTTGAGAGATTCTAAAGGAAGGACCCTCCGCAAAGAAGCTGTTATTTTTGAGCACATACTGAGATGAGATTGGTTCCTTACTCACTCAGACGAATACAACTAAGACTTGGCTTCCTTGCCTAAAACTGGTGTTGGCTTAAAAGCTATCGGGTCTCCACCCAGTTGCTGTTGAATGGAGCTGTTTCGGAGGGTTTTGTACTCATTTTTATACTTGTTATTATTAATACTTCCTTAACGCAGCCCATTTTTGAAATAAACAGTTTGAAGGGACTCTTCAGCCTCTTATTGCTGAGTGCTTTAAGTCAAAATGTTAGAAATTATGCTCAATATTCACACATGATGGGAAATGAGATTGGCTTTTACTTAAAATCTCATATAATTAAGAAATTTACTGGAGAGGGGTATTTTGAAGGACAAAAATTACCTGGGTTCAGAAAACAATTGTGTAACCACCTTATAGAGGGTGGGGGGGGGGGGGTGTTGCAGAAGCTTTCCATAAAACCACTATTATTAAGGGTAATCTATTTTGACCGTGTCCATGGCGGGGACTACAGTATTAATGTCTTCAATTGTTCATCTGCTGATTGCTTTTGAAGGACAAAAATTACCTGGGTTCAGAAAACAATTGTGTAACCACCTTATAGAGGGTGGGGGGGGGGGGTGTTGCAGAAGCATTCCATAAAACCACTATTATTAAGAGTAATCTATTTTGACCGTGTCCATGGCTGGGACTACAGTATTAATGTCTACAATTGTTCATCTGCTGATTGCATCTATTTCAGTTATAAATACAGTGCATTTTCTTCATTGAGGAATATTTCCAATCAAATTTAAAACTAAACAGAATATTAAGTTGATAAAAATATGTTTATTTATTATGTATTTTACAGTAAACAACAAATAAGTTCCCAGTGGAAGTGCCTTTTTAACCAAACCAGTTCAATGGCAAATATGTTAAATTTTTTTTTATATGATAACACTCAAGTTTTAACCTTAGCCTGAAGTTTGATGTGGAAAATGGCTCACACAGTTTAAACTCATTGTCTATAATAATCTCATCTGTTTTCACCTCATCTAAAGTTATTGTTTCATAACTTTCACCTTTTTCATTCTTAGTTTGTTTTTTTTTTAAACATTATTTTTGTTTAAGCCAAAATAACCTAATTGTCCTTCAAATATAAAAGCAACTTAGCTTACTATTGTCTAGAGCAGTGTTTCCCAAATGCCTGGTTGCTGCCCGGTACTGGGCCACGAAAGCAAAATTACCTGGTTGCCGTAAAGAAGAAAAAAAACGGTGACCGGGCCCCGGGCCACACAAAAAAGGTTTTGGGAAACGCTGGTCTAAGAGTTATTTATATATTTTGAATGTACATTTTCTTGGCTATCAGGTAGGAAAAAATTATTATTTAAATCAAAATATAAACTTTAAAAGTACGTATTTTGTTTCCCTTTGTGCCTACCTCAGTAGCCATTTTGTTGTTTTTATGAAAAATAATATGGCCTTATAAATTATTTTTGTTAAAGAGTAAAAATGGTTTCTAACACAGGGCAGTGGCAAGGACTGAGGTTTCTGGATATGCTAAAATAAAAATGATGATCTTTTTAGTTTTAAACTGATATAAATCTCAAATGTCACTGAAGATTAAACATTTTTTTTTTTTTTTTTAAATATTTCATTTTTTAATGTTTCTAAATTAAAATTATAAAACTTTTTTTTTGAGAGAGCCAGCTTAAAAGGTTTTGGTTTGTCTCACACAGATGCAACGCTTTATAACCATCCCATACTTTATCAGTGGTCAGCACCACAGTGATTTGTGGCCTGCCTTGGGGTTCCTCAAAATATTTGTGTTCACACTTTTTGACATAACTTATGAATACTGATGGCTTTTATATAATGTTATTTTCCTTAAAAACATATACACATGTACAGTGTGATACGGTTACTAAATTTTTTTTTTCTAATAGACTTTAAACAGCTACAACAGAAACTGGTGTGCTCCATTAAATCTTTAAAGGATGCTGAAGGCACCATCATGGAACAAGGAGAGGGCTGTCTTATTTAATTGTTCAAGAGCAGTGCTTTGTACCCTTTGTTGTTCTAAACAAAACCTGTTATTTAATTTATTTATATCTTGCCAATCTAAAATCAGCATTCTAGTGAAGTACTTTTTTGACATTTCTTTGCCTAGGAATGAGGCTGCCTTCATATTTCCCACTCTGTATTTAATGTCAGTGTTTCGTCAGCGTCAGTTCTGCTGGGTATCAACAAAATGGCCGTCATGCCTCCTAGCAACCATGGGCTCATAGTTTCATAGTTTTGACAACACACAGAAACGTCTATATACTGTGTCTAAGGAAAGAGCCACTAATGATTTAGCAAATTATGTGTTCAGAAATGTGTACAAATGTCTTATCCAGAAGAGATTGTTTTTCAACTCTTGTGTCGGCCTGAAAACTCAGTTGGTGCATCATTGTATGGATTGACTCTGTAAGACAATCATCCTTGACCCTGTCAAGATATGCTGGGTTCAAGCTATGCACACAACTATTCATATGACATGATAATTCATAGTTTTCTCAGTAAATCCATGTACATTAGGCATGGTCCCATTAAAAAGTGTTGGATTTCCTGACTCTACAAATGTTGTGTCTGTTAAAATTGTGACACTATATTTATAGAGAAACTGGAATACTGTCGATTTTATTTTTGGCTTGTAAATAAAAAAAAAAAGCTTTGATGTCTTCCAGGCAGCTGCGTCTGTTTGGAGAAATTTGTTTCGTTTAGTTAGTTTAAGTTAGTTGTTTTTTTTATTTTTTATTTTCATCACTGTCAAGTTCTAGATTTAGTTAAAAACAAGATTAGACATTATTTAAATTGTGTTTCGCTGTAATAAACATAATTGTTGCTGTTATTTATGAAATTATTTATTTTAACTACAGGAAGTGTAGGGTACAAAACCAGGAGTTTATAGCTTTGTTGACATCAAATGCTGTCCTAAGAATCACTTGCATATGGCCACACACATTTCTCACTTGAAATTCATCTATAATTTTTGTTTTTTAAATATTTTGTTTACATTTGCTGTACATAGTTAATAGCTTTTGAAATGACTGTTCAACCAAAGTAATCAGGGTAGACTCCCCTTCTCCCTCGTGATTAGCCTTGTGTGTTTGTGATTTTGCTTTTATATTTTGTTTACCTGTCTCAGTTGTCTTCCCTTCTTTGGTGGCCAGTCGACGACGGATAATGTTTGCTTAACTATTCTCAGGCAAATTAGTGCAGGATTGTCTTCTTGAAGTCTGTATTTGTTTCTCTGTCAAACTTCAACTGAAAACAACAGCTGTCTTCACCCATTGTGTTTTCAAATCAAAATAATCCATTTGACATTTAAACTGGTTTAATCTTCATTGTTATTTTTTTTTTTTTTTTTTTTTTTTTTTTTTTTTTTTTTTTTTTTTTTTTTTTTTTTTTTTTTTTTTTATGGCTTTGACTTCAATACAAATTTTTTTTAAGAGACTGGTTAATAGATTTTCTGCTTAGCCACTGGCTTCCTTGACTTAGATTGGAGCATGGGACACATCTGTCACTGTAGTAACAATTACATGTTGTTTTTTTTGTGTTACTTGTATTCTCTGGTTATGGTGGAAGCTTGAAATATAAAGACGAGAAAATAATAGAAAAACGTTTTGGCTAAGAGCCTTCCTAGCAGACAGGCCGAATAAAGAAACAATAAGAAATAGAAAGTAGTTCAAAGGCTAAAGTGTGATTTTTGCCATTAATGTTATCAATTTTATTGCCGTACTTATTCTTTCTGTTTCAATCCTCCACACACCTAGTTCCACTATTTCTTTCTCACAGCTTCAACACAGTCCTTCATTTAGTATGTGTTTTATTCTCTGGTTGTATGTGGCACTAAAGTTCTCTTACTGTTTAAGAATCATTGTAAATGGCAAACTTTATCCTAAACTTGTATTTTTTATGTGTGTGTTTTGTGGAAAGAAAAAAAAATTAATCAAATGTAAAAGATA